CGCCCAATCCGCAGAGCTCGCCCCCGAAACCGCTCCCGGGTGGCCCCGCGACGGCGACGCCGACGGGAGGGCTCGTCGACGAGGTGGACCCGGGCAGTGGCGGGCAGGAGACGGCGGAGCCGGTGGCGCTCAGCAGCGCGACGACGATCGCGCCGGCCGGGGAGGGGGAGCAGGATGGCGCAGCGGGGCCGACGGGAGGGGGACCAGGGGGAGACGACGCGTTGGAGAAGAGTGCGAGCTTGCGAGAGAGGTTCGTGAGGGCGAGCAGTCCCCGAGTCGAAGCGCCGTTGGATCCGGACGAGGGTCGAGGGGAGTCGGGCGCGGACGCGGACGCGGACGCGATGGCGACGGATCCGTGAGAGGAGAGGAGGGGAGGGGGCGGGCTTTGTTGCAGCACCACCTCGATGAGGAGGGAGTTACCTTATCGTTACGGGCGCTTGTAGTGTAGCTCTGCGCGCACGACGCCATGCTCGCAGCAGCGAGAGAGCGAGCGGAGCGTGCACTTCTCTCGCGACTGACCTTCTCAACCTCGCCCTCGGTCCCTTGTCTTCTCTCTCCCCGATCCTCACTCGCGGGATCCTCTAGCAGCCCCAGATCCTCTACTCACAGTATGCCAGACACGCCTCAGGAGCAAGGCATCCGCGCCTACGTCCGCTCTCTCGCCTCGCAGCTTGTGCCCCCCTCGGCCCCACTCCTCGACTCGCTCGCCCTCCCGCCGCCCCCAGAAGACCTGCAGCCCTTCCCGACAGGCCACGACGAGCGCAACATTGACTTCTGGGACGCGCGCACCCTGCGCGAGTGGGACGCCGAGCGCACGATGGACGACAAGTGGGAGATGACACGGGCGCAGGTCGACGAGCTCCGGGAGGCGCACAAAGCGTGGAGAGAGGCGGTCAAGCAGGCCAAGGAGGAGGGACAGGGCGTCGAGGGTCTTCCGGGTGCGCGACTTTAGCCTCGAGGCGCCACCCACCCAGCTGACTCCGCTCTCGCTCCTCGCGCCGCAGCACCGTGGACCTTCCCGCCTCGCATGCGCGACGACTTTGTCCTCTCGCGCTCGCACGAGCGTAGCTGGCGCACCGACATGCCGGCCTTCGACCCACTCGCGAGCGTCAACTCGCTCGTCGGCGCGCCGCCGCACGGGGTCCTTCCCGATGTCGACGACGCGCTGCTCGCCATGGGCGCCGTCCCCGCACTCGACGAAGCATTGTGCGTCTCTCACTGACTCGAGGGGTGGAGCAAGCTGACCTCAGCGACCCACTCGCAGCGACCTCAAGCTCTCAGCGACGGCCGAGCAGGTCGCAGAGGTCAAGCGCATTCGATCCGACTACACCAGCCGCAAGCGGCTCGACGAGTACGCTCTGCAGGACGAGCAAGACTGGAGCAAGGAGCTCGCGCGCATGCCGCCGTCCTCTGTGCGTCTCTCTGCGCTCCCCTGCCATGCGAGCGGGCCGCTCACTCGTTCCTCGCCGCTGACGCGCAGGTCCCGCGCCTCGGCTCCCCGCCCATCTTCCCTCGCTCGAGCGCCCAGTCGGTCCACCGATCCGCGCCGCCAGGAGAAGACCCCTTCGCGGGGTTGCTCCCTTCGGAGGGGAGCGCCTACCCGTCGTCACCACGCGGCAAGGGCATCTCGCAGGAGCAGTGGAACAGAGAAGGTGCGCTGCTCTCTCATTCTCCGTGTATGAAGCGGATAGACTAACCTGGTCTGCGCAGAGGGCCTCACGTCGCTCCCAGACTCGTCGCCCGCAGGCGCCTCGACTGACCCCGCCAAGTCAGCCGCCATTTGGTCCAGCTCGCCGAGCAAGGTCACCCCGCCCGAAACTCTCACCATCGGTGCGTCGATCCGTCGCTCTGACGGTGCCCGCCATTGCTGACCGCCCGGCGACAGAGCCACCGCGCTTTGACCGCGTGTCGCAGGCGGCGCTTCCTGCTGTCCCCCAGCTCGACGCGTACGCTCGTCATTGTGTTCCCGCCTCTTGACGTCCCCTGACGCCGCGCCCACCTGCGCAGGATCCGCCTCGCGGAGCTGCTGCGCGAGGACGACCCCGAGACGGACCAGCTCGAGGCGAGCGACGAGGGCGACATGCTCCCCGCAGGCGCGTCTGCTCGCCCCGGCGGGACGTACCCCGCCTTCTCTTCGGACGACACCCTGGGCGAGCCTGACGCTGGAGTCGACGATGTCGCCGCGGTCAAGCACTTCAAGCGTGCGCGCCTCTCTCGCTCCTCCCGCGCGATCGACCCGTTCGGAAACTGACGACCGCCCTTGAGCAGCGCCGGCTGTCCCCGACCCCTCGACTGTCTTCCCCGCCCCCTCCCTACCCCCGCTGTCCGCCTTTGCCTCCCGCGCCGCGACGAGCACCTCGGCCTCCTCGCCCTGGTCGCTCAAGCCTCTTCCCGGCTTGAAGGCGCTCACGCTCGGACTGAGCTGGCAGGCCTGGAAGCTTGACGAGGGAGAGACGCTCGAGGATGTGCTGCTCGGGGGGCAGGAGGGCGAGGAGGAAGAGGCGGTGAGGGCGCTTGCGAGCGGGGAGGACGGGAGCGGGGAAGATGGGAGCGGGGCAGAGGTCGGCAAGGAGGAAGAGGAGGAGCTGTGGTCCCTCGGGGCTTTTGAAGGATGCGTCCTCGACGGCCCCGACGACGACGCGGAGCTCCTACCGCGCGTGACGGTCGCCGGCGACGCTGCGACCGTCGAGGGCGCGTGCACGCCGCAAGAGGAGCCCGTCGCGGAGCGCATGCTGGTCGACGAGCTCGACACGTCCAGTGCGCCTCTCCACACCTTTACTCGCTGCACCACCTCCGGCGCCGTCCCCGAGGTCGTTGCGCCGTTGTCGAGCCTCCCTTCCCATGACGCTGTCGCTGCGCCGCCTCTCGCTCCTGACGACGCCGCCCGCCAGCCTCCAATGAGGGGGCCAACGACTGCCTCGGAGGCGCTGACCAGCGAATCGAGCGACTTTGGCTTTGTCTTCCCGACAGCCTCGGCACCGCCGTCGCCGCCCGCGCCGCGCGACATCGCCTCGTCGCAGACTGCCCTCGACCCCGAGCCACGTGACGGCTTATTCTGCGAAACCCAAGGTGGGGAGCGGCTGCAGGCCGTGCCGACCGACGAGGACGTCGCAGCGGTCGGGTCGGTTGTACGCCTCGACCAGGGCGAGGCGCTGCGCCCGTCGTGGTCGAACGCGGCTGCGCTCGACCGCTTCCTCTTCATGCGTGGGGTCGCTCCGCCGCACGCGCCGGCGAGCAGCGTCCCTGCACTGGAAGCCGCTCCCGTCGCCGCCGAGGTTGAGCCTGCGCTCGCGCCTGCGCCGCACTCGTCTCCTCCGCCGGGCTCCATTCCCTTCTCGGTCCCGCCTTTCCTCGCCGACTCGACCGCGACTCCCTTCTCCCTCTCCTCTCCCATCCGCGTCGTCGCCTTTGACGCCCTTCACCAGATGCGCGCGCACCTCGCCGCGCTGCGGCACCAGGGCCTCGTCCCCGTGCACCGCACGTCGCGCTACACGCCGCAGCCGTACCGCACGTACGAGCCACACCTCATCGTTGACCCGCGCTCTGCCGTCCTGTTCCTGCGTCTCGACGGCATCGTCGGCAACGCCGTCCCCCGCGAAACATCGCAGGGGAGGCGGCTCACGCGGCCCGAGCCGGTCATGACAACGCTCACTCGCCTGCACGAGCGGTTCGACCGCCTCCTCGTCGTGCTCGAGGAGCCCTTGCAGCGCGTCGGCGGCGTCAAGAAGTACGGGTACACGCTGCCAGTGCTCACCGCGCTGCAGCAGCTCGCCTCGGGGCTGAGCGAGCTCGCTGGGAAACCACACGGCGTCGAGGTTGCGCTGTCGAAGGGCGCGGAGCACTCGGGAGAGCTGGTGAGGAGGTGGGTCCAGTGGCTGGCGGGGAAGGACGACGTGGCGAGCCGCGAGGAGGGCTTGCCGGTGCTCGAGCTGTGGGGGGAGCGCGCGTGGCTCTCGGAGGACCCCTCCCAAGTGCGTGTGACTTCTCTTTCTCGTATATTCGCTCTGCTACTCGCTGACCGCCGGCGCTCCTATTTGCAGGACGAGGTCACCCTCCTCGACCTCGACGGCCTCAACGAACTCGCCGCGTGCGCCGTCCTCGGCGTATGCTCGGCGAGCGAATTTGTCGCCCTCTCGACCGAGGACCGTGTCGCCATCTTTGCGCGCCTCGTCGGCACCGCGACAGTCGTGCGCTCTCGAACTGCAGCCTTTTTGAAGCGGAGTTGAAGCGGAGACGGGAGGGGCTGACTCTCGCTCGAGCAGGACCGCATCTCGCGCTTCCTCTCGACGGCCCAGCCGACCACCACGTCTCCCCGCTCGTGCAATGATTCGGACTGTGGCCCGCCGGTGTCGCTCTCGCAGCTTGGCGGCGCCCTCAAGAATGCGCCGGCCAGCAGCGGCGGGAGCTCTGGCGAGTGGAGGCAGTGGATCCACCTGGACTTGTAGCTGGGAGTGCGTCTCTGTGCATCTCTGCTGTCTGAGCTTCTTGTGTCGGCGTGGCGTGAGCCCCCCCGGGGTGCGAGGAACAGAGGGGTCGCCTGCAAAGTGCGAAAGGGACGTCGACTCGGAGGCTCGAGCGGCACCAACATTCGATTTGAGTGAGCACCCGACCGTGAGAAGCTCTTCCGGAGCCGACGGTGTTTTCAGCCGTCGGTCCCACTGACAGCTGGACCGCCACCTCTTCCTCCTCGCGCCTCTCGAGCTGCACGGCCGCTTCCTGCGCCCGCGAAGCAGCCATTCGCCTGGCCCGGCGCTTTACAGCCTTGAGCAGGCTACAGAGCACGTCCATACACGCAGAGTGGCGAGGCGCCCACTTGAGAAAGTCGAGAGAGGTCCGTGCGAGTCGACGTTCTCGAGTTCAATGTTCGGATCGCGATGTCACCTGGTTCCCGCAATTCTCCCCGCTTGCCGCTTGGAGTGCGCACCGAAACCCACGCAGGCTGGCAGGCTGCTACGCCCGGTCCCCCGAATCGGCACGAGAGCTAGAGACAAAAAGGTATGCGTCCTCGGACAGGTTCGAACTGTCGACCTCCCGATGGCGACTGTGTCAGGTAACAGTCGGACGCTCTCGACCAACTGAGCTACGAAGACGCTTTGTTGGGTGGGTGTTGACAATATAAACAATATAACCGCACACAAGCCAGATAAGCAACCGCAGGCGCGTCTGACCTGGAAAACACTCTCGCGTGCTCTCTCGAGTGCTGCTCAGCCGAGCCATTCGGGTCCCCGGGCTCCATGCAGGCCCGGGGGACGTCCTTTTGGCCTCTGAGAGTCGAGTAGGGTCGAGGGGACGACTGAGGGGCCCGTGCGGGCCTTCTTCTTCCTCCCGTCACACGTGGGTCGACGAGAGCTCCTTCTTGTCGTGTGTTGTCTCCTTGTGGGAGCTTACTTGAGCGGATCGGCGAACGCGCACGCCGATAGACGTCGGGCTGGGCCCGTGTAGGCTCGAGAGAGCACGGCGCCTTCTGCTCGTCCCTCACGGGCGTCAAACCCACTCGGCCCGCCTCTCGCAGCTTGCGAGCCCTCCTTTCACTTTTTTTCTCTCCGTGTGTGCCGCCTTGAGCGCGTCTTAGATCGTGCGAGGGCTGTCAGAGGAGCGCAGACTGGGCTCCCCTGCTGCGAGGCAGCGTCGGATCGACAGCCCTTGTTCTCGGGCTCGGATCGCACTGCGGAGCTAGGGAAGCGAGATTGACGCTCATGCGCGAAGCAAACTCGTCGGTATCAAACGGGGTGGGCTCAAGAGGTCCTTTGCTCGTCCACCTCGCTCAGACCCATGACTTGGCGGCAGCGCTCCTCTGGCAGCACTTGTTGAGCGTCCTCCTGCGTTGGACCTGCTCTCCCATTTGAGCTGGGACGCAGCGTGCAAACAGGGCAGGCCGCGGGAACAGGGCAAAGACGGACCCCGTGCGGCACGAGCGCCGAGTCGAGGCCAATGCCGCCTGCGAGCCGGGTGCAGCTGAACTTCTGGGGCAGTACAGTATTGCGTGCCTCTGACATCTCTTTCGAGGCTGATCGACACGATGCTTCGAGCGCACTCGTCACGCGGGAGCTCGCCGCCGACGCTCAGACCCTGACGACTTGCGTGCACGGCTGAAGACGCTGACGCGTGGCCTCGCGCCCTACACAGTAGATTCTCGACTTCCGTTCGCAACACCAAGAGCCCGTCGAAGGGATGCTCAACTGGGGGCAGCGCCGGGCGTGCGAAGGGAGCCCGCACGGGCCTTGTTTCGTCTCGCATCACGCGGACAACTCAACCATGGCTTGGTCTTACTGCGTGTTCAGCTTGTCGTGCATGCTCGCTCGAGTAGTCTGTTCACTAAGCGTGTGAAAGGATGACGTCCAGAGGGGTCAGTAATGCCTCAAAGGATGGGGAGGTGCCCCTCTCCCCTCGGAATGGCTCTTGCACCACTCTGAGACCATTGCAGTGTGAGAGTGCTCACGGAAAGTCTCCACTCTCCTGTTGAGCTAGTCTGAGAGTGCTACAGGCCGTGCTGAGAGTTTGGGACACGTTCAAAGAGGGCAGGCAAACTCTCCTCCGTGTCGCTTTCGAGGCGGCGTGCAACCACCCATGTCGAGAGTTCCGACGCGCTTGCTCTCGCGAGGCACTCCTGACAAGCACAAAGCGTTCGCACCTGGCAGGACGACGCTTTGCGAGCATTTGGGCCTCCGAAGAGGTTCCCCGCAGCCGCGCGTGTCCTGCGCTGCTCGGTGGCCCTGCTCTCCCTCTGCCCCAAACCCGCGAGAGGAAAAGCAGAAACGTCCTTGCACCAGCGAGAGCAGCCAGACCCCCAAGGGGCTCCCTCACGACAGCTGCTTGGCCTTCTCCTGCTCGAGGCGCTGGTACAGCATGCGCACGGCGACCTGGATGCCCGACGGTTGGCCCGTGATCGTGACGAGCTGTGTGTGCATGCGAGCGTGTCAGGGAAGAAGGGCGGGAGCGAGAGGCGAGAACAAGGGCAGACGCACACGCTCGTTCGGCGCTCCGCCCGGACCGACCTCGCCCGGCTCGGCAATCTGCGCACAGGCGAAGGGTGAGCACATAGCGCAGAGGCATGCACAGAGAGAGCATGCCGAACGCACCTTGATCTGGCAGGCCGACACGGAGCGGACCTCTTCAAGGCGGGGCGCGGCGGGAAAGACGAGTCAGCGTCGCACCAACCCGGCACCGCCCAGAGCCACACGCACCGTTGATCTTGCTGCCGCCCTTGCCGATGATCGAGCCAACGAGCTCGGTCGGAATGTAGAGCTGCTGCGTCTGTGCGCCCGGGCCAGGCGGCGGGCCCATGCCCCCTCCACCGCCGGGGCCGCGATCAGGGCGCGGGCCGCGCTCGGGCGGCGGACGGCCGTAGTCGCCACCGGTGCTGCTCGGGCGGTACGACTGGTTGGACGTCTGCGGCGGGTGCTCCTGCAGGACCGAGCCGACGTAGTAGACGGCGATGTGGACGGCGTCGGCGACACCCGAAACCGAGAGGACACGCTGTGCACGCGCATCCCAAGAGAACCTCGTCAGTCGTGTGGTCACACCAACGAAGAGAAGGAAGGCTGCGCAGAGCGGACGCACCTCGGAACTGCCGGGGAGCATGGCCTCGCTGGCCTGGAGCTTTGCGCCCGACGCCTCCTGAATCTCCTTGATCTTGCTGCCGCCCTTGCCGATGACCGAGCCCATGCGCGAATGAGGAATGATGAAGCGGATCGTGACGGCGCGCGAGCCGGGGACAGACGGGACGTCGAACGGCTCGTCGTTGATGCGGCGCACGATGAGGCCAAAGGCCTGTGGGAGGAGTACCGAGAGCGGATTTATCAGCATGCCTGCATCGTGAGGCTCACGCACTCACGCAATCCACGACCGAGACGCACCTTGGAGACGGCGTCGAGGGGGCCGCCGACGGCCATGATGCGCTCCGGGTTGCCCGGGACCGCCTCGGTGATGGTGATCTTTGCGCCGCTCTTCTCACGGATCTCGATGATGTTCTTGCCCTGCTTGCCAATGATGATGCTGGCGTCCTGGGTGACGATGAGGGTGCGCATCTGGATCGTCTGGGACGCTGCGGCCTGGGCGGCCGCCTCTTGCGCCGCGGGCTCCGGGTTGGCGGGGAGGTCGACGACGGGCTTGGCGGGGATGCCGCTCGAGTCGACGTTCATGTGGACGGGCGCTTCTGCCTTGATGTCGCCGCCCTCGGCAGCGTCGGCGGGTTGAGGTGCGTCTGCGGTGTCGGCGCCCTCTGCCTCGGTCTCGGTCGCCTGGGGCATCTCATCGTCGACCTCGAGCTTGGTCGGTGCAGCCGTGGCCTGGTTGGCCTTCTTGGCCGAGGGGTCGGCCGAGGGGGACGACGAGCGCGAGCGCTTGCGGGCGAGGTCGCTGGACGCGGCGGTGAGCGAGTCGGCCATGGGGGAGTAGGGGGTGGTGGAAGCGACGCAAAGAGAGATCAGCTACGGGCGGCCTGTGCAGGTTGCGCGCGCGACAAGGGACGGCGGGCGAGAGTGCGGGGGGCGGGCGAAGGAGGCGGCTTTGACGACGAGGCTGTGAGACGGGGGAAAGACGAAGGCTTGGCGGCGGGCACGTTGGACTGGGATCAAGGGAGGGAGGGCTGGGGTCAGGGTTCAGGAGAGACGAGGAGAGGGGAGGGGAACGGGAAGGCGAGGAGGAGAGGAGGAGGAGGAGGAGGAGGGGACAGGGTGTAGCGGGACCCTGCTGCAGTGCAAGGGCGCCCTGACCAGGCAAGGAGGCTGCAGCAGCCAGCGAGAATGCTGCTACCGTGTGGCGAGTCGGGGCTTACCTCGTGCGTGGGCCTCGTGGTGCAGGGGGAGAGGAGAGGGCGAGCACTGTGAATGGCGAGGCGCGCACCCGCCAAAGTCAGGCAACTGTATATTGTGATTAGCAATGAATACAGCTGACTTTCGCTTTCACAACCTGATGCGACCACCTGCATCCGTCGCTGATTGTGCCTCCCTCGAGCAGACTCGCAGCTCAGTGCGCGGCCCTGGGCGCAGCCTCGCCCTTCTCTGATGCAGTCGTGGCTTTCTGTCAGTCTCATCCATCTTCCTCTACGCGACTGGTCCACGACAAACACGCTCGCGGAAGCCCCATCTCTCGGCTCGCTCAACCACGGCATCTCGACCTGCGAATGCACCCGGCCGACATGTCGCTCAACCGAGACAGTCAAGAGCCCGCTCATGGGGCTCCATGGGAACCGCTGGACCAGCCGGTGCGCGAGGTGGCCACAGAGCAGTGTCTGCTTCTCAAGGTCACTGACCCACGAGCTGACCCTCGCTCTCTCTTGCTCCCTGTGCATTCCCAAACAGATCGATCGACCGCCTGATCTGCGGTCTCGAACGCTGACGAGCCGGACACGGACGGCGAGGGGTCGACGACGCATCCCCGTCTTCCTCTTGTGTGCCGTCGTCGGGCTCGTCGTCCTCGTGTGGTCGCGCTCTTCGGCAGCGCGGAAACCTCGAGGCGCCAAGGGGACCCTGCTGTCGTCGAGCAGCTACCCGTTCACCCCGCCGGATGACCCGCTCCCGGTCCACCACCTCGAGAGCCTCATGCTCTACCACAACACGCCTGTCGCTCGCTCGCGCCCACCGCCAACCCAGTTCCTCCTCGACCCGCGCGCCGACCTCTCCAAACCCGTCGTCGCCCTCATCACGGCGACCAACAACCCGCGCGACGTAATGCGCGAGACGGCGACGACCCTCTTTGGCCAGTCGTTGCAGAACTTTGTGTGGGTCATTGTCGACGACCACACGACCGAGCCGGGCTCGCGCGACCTCCTCGACGAGCTCGCGCGCGACCCGCGCGTCGTCGTCGTCAAGAATGAGCGCGACATGGGGCTCGCCGTCTCGCGCAACGTCGCGCTCGACTGGGTCTTTGAACATTACGACCCGCCGCCCAAGTACCTCGTCTCGCTCGACGACGACGACCTGTTCGAGTACACGGCGCTCGAAAAGACGTGTTGGATGCTCGAGTCCAACCCAGAGTGGGACATTGGGGGTTTCCGCTACGTCAAATGGGGGGCGTCGAACGAGACGGTTGTCACGGGCCTGCACTCGGGGCGGTCCAACTGGTCCAAGGGCAACTTTGTGCCCAACGC